TTGTTTTTTTTTAACTCGGCGCGGTGGTGGCCCAACTCCGGAAGCCAGTTCCGATCCTTGAACTCAGCGGCTGTCCCATGGGGCCATTCCCCCCAGTCGACCTTCCCACTCGCAAGCGGGTTCCGATGATCCCAGAACCCCAGCTCCAGGCCCTTCCAAGCCCAGAGACACCCCCAGGCCCCCCCCGAAGGCAACCTGTGCCCTCTGACCTTTTGTATCTCCAGCTGCCTCTCCTGTTCTGCTGTCCGCCGCGCGGCCCGGCCCGGCCTCCTCTCCCCTGCCGGTTGTACCTGTCAACCTCTTCGTAGTCTTCACCACTCACAACACCTGTGGAGGGAGAGAGGGGGAATGGAATCAGAAGACATTGCAGAGCAATCTCTCTCCCCTCCTGTTATAGCCCAACGCTCCTCTGGCTCCCCGTGTTGCTATCCTGACCGTTTACAGGCCAATCAAGCCAAGGACTCCGAACCCAGTCTCCTGACAGAGAAAGCCAAGATTGCTCTGCTGTCCCCACTGAGCTGCATCTCCAGGTCTCCTTCTATGCAGATGAGGAGCACCTACTCCGAAGCCCTGTGAGGGTCCTACATCTAGAAACTAGATCCGTCCCTAACCTTAGAATGGTTTGGTATGTTAGCGAAACAGGCAGGAGGCTGTTCTTTCTAGCCCGGCGTACCCTCGTTTCTCCGCTGGTGCCTCGGCGCATAGTTGAACTGCAGGTCGATCTGCCGGTTCTGCCTGGCCTCCGCCCGGTTCTTGCTGTGATAGGCCGTCTTGTGGGCTTTGTAGTCGATTTCCGTCCGGAAGGCGTGGGTGAACTGCTCGCTGCTGCACCGGCCCTCTTCGCACAGGAAGTGCTTTTCCCGGAAATGCTCTCGGAGGTATTCGTAATCACTGCAGCGGGGCAGAGGGAGAGCGTGCTCACTCACCGGGGAATTCGGTTCCGTTTGTGGAGGCAAAGGGGAAGGTGTGTGTGGGGGGGGACAGAGACACGCCAAAACATGGCTGGGGAGGAGACGGTTCCCGAGCTTCTTTTCAGCACCGATGGCTCCTGCCTTGGGGGAAGGTTTAAGAGAGCTGGGCGTTTGGCGTGGAGAAGGGAAGACCGAGAGGCGACGGGAAAGCCACCTGGACCCGCCTGAAGGGCGATCCCGTGGGAGAGGGAGGAAACCCGTGCCCTGCTGTCCCAGGGGAAGGAGCCAAGCAAAGGGTCAGCGGGGTGTCAGTCCAAGGAACAGGGTCTGTTGGTAGGCCAGTGGCCTCAGGAATCAGACACAAGGCGACTGGGCGCCAATCCCCATGACGTAAGGGAGACGGGGCTGGGTTCACCCACCTGTAATACTCCTGCGCCCCCTCGGAATCACAGAAGTGGCAAAAATAGTGGTCTCTCCTAAGGTGTTTCAGTAACTCGTCATTATCCAAATACCGCTCGTCACAAAATTTGCACAGGGGATGGCCCCGGTGAGAGGTGTCGTCGGGATCCCCGTGGATCCTGTGCCTGGCGAGGTCCTTGCGGGTGTACCATTTGCGCTCGTAGGTGAAAATCTGGAATGG